CAGAACTGGGTATTTTATAAAGAAAACACAATTTATTGCTTACAATTTCTGAGGCTGGGAAGTATAAAGTCCAGGGAACACATCTGGTGAGGGTCTTCTTTGGTGGTGGCTTTACAGCAACACAGGGGTCTCACATAGCACAAAATGGCAGAGCAGAGAGAGAGAGATGCTCACCTGCTCTCCTTTTAAAGTCCTCAGAACCACACCCACGACCACCATTAAACCATCAACTCTTCAAGGCCCCACCTTTCAATTATCATAGTAGGATTTCCTACCCTCAACAGTGACAGTGGGAATTAAGCTTCTAATATATGAACTTTGGGGGACACAGTTCAGTCAATCCACAACACCCTCATTCAACCAATTACCAAGTATTGTAGATTCTCCATGCTTAAATCTCTAGGTGATGTCTCTAAGGTATAAATCCAATCTGCCTCTTCCTTAAAACTCTTTAGCACCTTCCCCATGGCCATCAGGGTAAAGTCCAAGCGTTTAACATGGATTTTAAGGCTCTTCATAATCTGACCTTTACTTCTTCTGCCTTCTTAGCTTGTAGGTCCCCATTCTTGCACTCAAAGTACCAGCCAATGGAATTTAATTTTTTGCATGAGTCCTGTCTCCTTTCCATCAAACCGTTGCACATTGTTGGAATACTTTTCCTTACCCCTTTTATGTCTCAGCTTCAGTATCACTTCCACTAGAGGGTTAGATGGTTAATGTACTTAAACCTAACTCAGCACTTATGTTACTGTATTTTAATTAACACCTCACTTACTTTTTAGTATCTTCCAGTAGATTGTGGAGATACTAAAATTTCCTTGAAGGCAAGAAACAGTCCACCTCTTTAATATCCTCCTCTTTCTCTGTCTGCTACACTACTTCAGATCCTCATTATCTCTAGCTTAGACAATTGCATTAGTCTGTTAACTGCTTTCCCTGGCCCTAGTCTATCCTTCTGTAATCTGTGCTTTACACTGCACAGGCAGTTTTGTTTAATGGCCAACACTTTCCTGCTTAAATACTTCAGTAGTTCCCAGCTGCCTTTAGAAAAAGTCCAGATGTTTTAGGATTACATGAACTTGTTTCCTCCCCTCTTCTGTGCCCTAACTACCCTGTGCCTCATAGGCACTCTGTAAATATTTGTTGAATGAATGCAGCACTATATCAAACTCATTCAGACATAACCAAGAACAAAGAGATTAGCTAAAGAAATGCAGTTGGGTACAGTGGCTTCCCAGGACAATATAGCCATAGCTTTCAGTAGAGCTAGAAGACTGGTGGTAGAGCTCTATCCGTTAGGAGGGAGTCCCCAAAACATGCCTTTACTATTAGATAACTCTTTGCCCTTACATATTCCTAAAATATATTACCCCCATTGACCTGGTAAACCATTGCATTTCCAGACTCAGTTCAAGTATCCCTTCCTGCATTAAACATCTCCAGACCTTTCTAGACAGAGGGAGTATATTGGTTCAACTTTTTGTAGCATAGTTTATAAAATGTAACAAGAGTGGTGAAAATATGAAGGCTCTTTAACCTAGGAATTGTACTTCTAGGACGTTACTTAACTAAAGAATTTGGCCTAATTATGGGCTTTAATAACATTTTGTTTAATGGCCAACACTTTCCTGCTTAAATACTTCAGTAGTTCCCAGCTGCCTTTAGAAAAAGACCAGATGTTTTAGGATTACATGAACTTGTTTCCTCCCCTCTTCTGTGCCCTAACTACCCTGTGCCTCATAGGCACTCTGTAAATATTTGTTGAATGAATGCAGCACTATATCAAACTCATCAAGACATAACCAAGAACAAAGAGATTAGCTAAAGAAATGCAGTTGGGTACAGTGGCTTCCCAGGACAATATAGCCATAGCTTTCAGTAGAGCTAGAAGACTGGTGGTAGAGCTCTATCCGTTAGGAGGGAGTCCCCAAAACATGCCTTTACTATTAGATAACTCTTTGCCCTTACATATTCCTAAAATATATTACCCCCATTGACCTGGTAAACCATTGCATTTCCAGACTCAGTTCAAGTATCCCTTCCTGCATTAAACATCTCCAGACCTTTCTAGACAGAGGGAGTATATTGGTTCAACTTTTTGTAGCATAGTTTATAAAATGTAACAAGAGTGGTGAAAATATGAAGGCTCTTTAACCTAGGAATTGTACTTCTAGGACGTTACTTAACTAAAGAATTTGGCCTAATTATGGGCTTTAATAACCCATTCTATTCCCAGTTCTTCAACCTAAAGGAAAATTACAAACATCCTAAGAAGTAGAACTGGAATAGGATGGTTTATTTAAGACCATAAGTAGGCAAAATACTTCATTTTCATAGCTAGTATTTTCAGCCTTTACCACCTAATATTTCACTAGCACTGCGAATATGAATAATGCATAAAGTGTCCAAACAATGATTTTGTTCATAGCCTTTCCATGTAACTCTGAATACTCTGATTGCCTCTCCCTCTGACCTCAGGGGCTTAATCTTAATTAATTAATTAATTAATTAATTAATTTTTTAAAAAGATGACCGGTAAGGGGATCTTAACCCTTGACTTGGTGTTGTCAGCACCACGCTCAGCCAGTGAGCGAACCGGCCATCCCTATGTGGGATCCGAACCCGGGGCCTTGGTGTTATCAGCACCGCACTCTACCGAGTGAGCCACGGGCCGGCCCTTAATCTTAATTTAATATTGATCCAAATAAAAGTTATGCTATCAATAAATCATATATCCCAAAGTCAAATTGGAATTCCTTTTAAAGTATTATAAAAAACATAATTAAAGCCTTCCACAGAGATATTCATGAACACATTGTTGATAATCCAGAAAAATTAGAAAAAACCTAAAATTACAGACTAAGAGATTAATTGGATAAACTGGTATATTTAACGATGGAATATTACACAGTCAATAAAGCTAATGTAAAAATAGACTTAATGTAGAATGAAATATCAGTATGGCTACACTTTGGGGGGTTGGGCGTATGTGCATATGCATATGCATGCACAGAAATAAAATAGGTATACACCAAAATGTTAATTGTGATTATCTCCAAGTGGTGGGATTTTGTATTCTTTTATTTTCTTTATCTGTGTTTATCTATGTTTTCTCATTTTTCTCAATGAACATGCATTACTTGTGAATTCAAAATAATTTGGCTTTGAGATCTATTACATGTGTTAGCAGCAGACTTACTATTTGATATGAGTGTGCCCTTATTCTATTTCAGCTGAAATTATTTGAAGTTGTCTTCATTATTTCCTTCGAGTATTCTTTTGTAGAGTTGCTAAAGAAAAATCATAAAACTAAAAGGCAAGAAAAGCAACTGGACTAGATACTTAGAGAATTAGATAAGTTTGGATAAAATAGGCATAATGGATAGCTAGAAGATAGAGTTTGACTTTCCTTTTTTCAATGAATTAATTTGTTTGTCTTCCATTTTTAAAAGCATGCTTGTCCTATTTTCAATGAAGAATTGCTTCAAGTTACTTTCTAACCACAAAGTCCCAACAGCTGGCTTTAAAAACACAGTAAAAAATGGGCTAATTTTACAGTCAGTTTCCAATGATGTTTATCAAAATCTGGCTGTAGAAGACTGGATCCATGACCATATGAATCTAGAAGGCAAGCCAATTCTTTTCTTTTGGAGAAATTCTCCCTCTGTTGTAATTGGTAGGCATCAGAATCCTTGGCAGGAATGTAACCTGAATCTGATGCGAGAAGAAGGAATAAAACTGGCTCGGAGAAGGAGTGGAGGAGGAACCGTCTACCATGATATGGGTAATATCAATTTGACTTTCTTTACAACCAAAAAGAAGTATGATAGAATGGAAAATATGAAATTAGTTGTGAGAGCTATGAATGCTGTCCAACCCCAGCTGGATGTACGGGCTACCAAAAGATTTGACCTTTTACTTGATGGACAGTTTAAAATCTCAGGAACAGCTTCTAAGATCGGCCGGACTACTGCTTATCACCACTGCACTTTATTATGTAGTACTGATGGGACCTTCTTGTCTTCTTTACTAAAGAGCCCCTACCAAGGGATCAAGAGCAATGCCACTGCTAGCATACCTTCTGTAGTTAAAAATCTTTTGGAAAAAGATCCGACTCTGACCTGTGAAGTACTGGTGAATGCTATTGCTGCAGAGTATGCTGCTTATCATCAAATTGATAATCACATTAACCTAATAAACCCAACTGATGAGACATTGTTTCCTGGAATAAATAGCAAAGCCAAAGAACTGCAAACTTGGGAGTGGATATATGGCAAAACTCCAAAGTTTAGTATAAACACTTCCTTTAATATATTATATGAACAGTCACACTTGGAAATTAAAGTATTCATCGATATAAAGAATGGAAGAATTGAAATCTGTAATATTGAAGCACCTAATCATTGGTTGCCACTGGAAATATGCAACAAATTAAATTCAAGTTTTATTGGCAGTAAGTTTTGCCCAATCGAAACTAACATGCTAACAAGTATATTACTGAGAACATGTCCTGAAGACCGTAAACTACACAGTAAGTGGAATATACTCTGTGAAAATATTAAGGGAATAATGTGATTCCAAGTAAATTTCATTATGCTGACAATTTCAGTGCAAAAATAAAATTTTGAAATGCACATTGGATGTCTCTTTAAAAAAAAAAGGCCTAGTCTTTTAGTAACTTCTCCCCATTTGAAATTATCACCTATTCTTGTACATATTCTCTGTTGATCTGTAGGATACTTTCTTTCTTAATTGATTTTAGTACTTGGCACACATTTATATTTTATTTTTTTATTTTATTTTAAATTTTTATTGAATCAAAATTGATTATACATATTTTGGGGGTTCAACATTGATATATGTTGATCAAATCCACATGTATATTTTAGCTTTTATATTCTACAATTTACTGTCACAATTATATTTTACATTTACTGTCTTGGGAATATATGCCATACTGGACACTTTAACCTCAGAATTAGTTCTTTGTTTTTCCTACCTCTAAGGAATATAACCCAGGCTTCTTGAAACCTCTGATATCTTAAACTCTGAAATTCCCCCTTTTAGTTATATTTTCTTATTCTACCATCCTCTCCCACTAAATCAATCCCGTTGCATTTTTGTAAGCCCTTAACTCTTTCCTAATCTCTGCTTACTTCATTTCCCTTCCTACCCCAGCCTGAATTATTTAAGGTATATTGTACACTTTCTTGCTAGTATACTCATTTGTTTCTCTACTATAGCCTTTTTTTAAAATTTTTAATCTTAACAATTGATTTTCTACTCCTATCCCTAGATGGCAAGCAGTGGTGGAAAAAAAAGATCATACAATTATGCACATTAACCCAATTTCATATTTACAGTTTTCAATTTATGTATCTTCTTTCTTTTGGTATCAGATTCAACTCATCTCTGGTTGACTTACCCTCATTCCTTTTTTTTTTTTTTTTTTTTTTTTTTTTTTTTTTATGTGGGATCCGAACCCTCGGCGGGAGCGCCACCGCACTTCCCAAGCAGCGCACTATAGCAGTGCGCCACCGGGCCGGCCCGACTTACCCTCATTCTTGAGGGGGCTTATTCTTAAATGTTTCTACTCTTCTCAAGCTCAGAATTCCACTGTTCTTATAACAAACCTTGATTCATAATTTGCTGACAGTTTAATCCTTCAAATATGAGCCCCTCCAGCCCCCCAATGTTCTCTACTTCAACATTTCTCCTCATTCAATCTCAGAGAAGGAAATTGAAGCTTTGTTTCCTTGAAGCTAACACCTCTAATTATACCTTGGATTTTGTCCTCTCCTGCCTGTGTTATCTTGCATTTTTCTCTCTCCACTTTTACTGGCTCCTTAACCATAGTGGATGAACATACTCACATCTCCCCTTTCCCAAAACTCTCCTGCTCAAGATTCTTTTTCTTTCCATCTCTTCACTGCCAGACTTCTTCAAAGAATAACATCATTGTTGACCATTTCCTGTCTCTATGGTTCATTCACTCACATATGCCTCTTATTTCTACAGTACTTACTCTGTGTTTATTGCGTGCTTCTAAGTGCCAGGCACTGTGCTAGTTCTTGGATGTTCGTGGTGAGTGAAAGAGACTTGGTCCCTGACCTCAGAAATTGAGTTTAGTGTCGTGGCTTTTAAACTTTTTAAAAACCAGAGTAGGGGCCGGCCTGGTGGCGCACTGCTACAGTGCGCCCCTTGGGAGCATGGCGGCGCTCCCACCGAGGGTTCGGATCCCACATACAGACTGGTTCCCACTCACTGGCTGAGCGAGGTGTGGGCGCAACACCGAGGGTTGTGATCCCGTTGCCGGTCCCGGTCCGGTACGGGTGCGACACTGAGGGTTACGATCCGTTGCCGGACACGAAAAAAGACAAAAATAAATAAATAAATAAAAAGCAGAGTAAAATGAGAATAAAAAGTATATATTATATTGTGCCCCAGCACACACACACATATTTATGTATACTTAACAAGCTTCATGATACAGTGCTTATCCTTTACTATTTACTTCAGATATTTTATATTCCATTGTATTTCATCTTTTTTTTTTTTTTTTTTTTTTTTTTAAAGATGACCGGTAAGGGGATCTTAACCCTTGACTTGGTGTTATCAGCACCACGCTCACCCAGTGAGCAACTGGCCATCCCTATATGGGATCCGAACCCGTGGCCTTGGTGTTATCAGCACCGCACTCTCCCGAGTGAGCCACAGGCCGGCCCATTGTATTTCATCTTTTAAAAATTGATCTTATGATCCATTAATAGGTCAGCACCTGAGTTTTAAAAAGTCTGGCATAGTAGAAAAAGTAGACAAATCAGTAAATAATTACAAAATGAGAAAAGCTACAAAAGGAAAGTTGAGGTAGTTGTAATAGACAGTAAATAGGGGCTACCTGGCTTGGGCTCTTAGGAAGACGACATTTAAACTGAGACCTGAAGAATGAGAAGCAAGCCATGCCTAGTGGGGTGGGGAGAGAGTGTATTCCAGGTTGTGTTGGTTATTGCTACCTAGCACACCACTCCAAAACTTGGTGGTTTAAAACAGCAATCATTTTATTCACTAATCTACAATCTGGGCAGGACTTTGGTGGGGATAGTTCATTTGATCCAACAGCATTAGCTAGGACAGTTTAACTGGGGCCAGAAATATCTACTTCCAAGATGGCTCACTCACATGGCTGGCAAATTGATGCTGGCAGTTAACTGGGAGTTCCTCTCTTTGTGGACTGCCTGCACTTACAGCATGGGTGGCTGGGTTCCCCAGAGCAAGTGACCCAAGAAAGCTGGAGAAAAGCTGTATTTCCTTTTATGACCTAGTCTTGGATGTAACAGTATCACTTCTGTAGTCATAGCACATCCAAATTCAAGGAGATGGAACATAGATACCCTCCTCTCCATGGGAGGAATGTCAATTCATAAAAAGAACTTCTGGAATGGGAATGTTTTTATTGTGGCCATTTTGGGTAAGTACAGTTTGCTGTGCAGAACAGCATATGGGATGGCCCTAAAGCAGGAAAGAGCTAGGCTTATTGATGGTATTGAAGGAAATATAGGCAAACTCAGTGTAGGAATAAGGAGGAGAATGGAACAAAATGAAGTTGGAGAAATAGAGACCAGATCATATAGAGACTGATGGGCCAAAGTAGAGTGTGAAGACAGTTTTTATAAAGATTACTCTGGCTGCTTTGTGGAGAATGGGTTGGAGTTAGGCAAGATAGGAAGCAGAGAGCCAGTCAGGAGGCTATTGCAGAAGTCCAGGTAACAGATGTGCTGGCAGTGGTCATGGAAAGAAGCGGACAGTCTGCCAAGCACTTGTCGAAAGTTAGGAATGACCAGCCAGCTGCCAGAAGAAAAAAAAAGTGTTAGGAATGACTCCCGTTTTGAAGCAGGGCTTATTACTTGGTTCTTTTAAAAAGGGAACAATGAGGCAGTCAGTTTGTATTTGTTCGCTAGGGCTGCCAAAACACCCACAGACTGGGTGGCTTAATAGAAATGTATTTTCTCAGTTCTGGAGACTGGAAGCTTAAGATCAAGGTGCCAGCACGTTTGGTTTCTTTTGAGACTTTTCCTTGGCTTGCAGGTGGTCACCTTCACATTGTGTCCTCACATGGTCTTTCTCTATATATGTATGCATATCCGTGTCCAAATTTCATTTTCTTATAAGGACACCAGTCATATTGGTTTAGGGTCTACCCTAAAGACCTCATTTTAACTAAATCACTTCTTTTTTTTTTTTGTCTTTTTGTCTTTTTCCGTGTCCGGCAACGGATCGCAACCCTCAGTGTTGCCCCCATACCGGACCGGGGACCGGCAACGGGATTGCAACCCTCGGTGTTGCTCCCGCGCCTCGCTCAGCCAGTGAGCGGGAACCGGTCTGTATGTGGGATCCGAACCCTCGGGCGGGAGCGCCACCGCGCTTCCCAAGCGGCGCACTATCCAGTGCGCCACCGGGCCGGCCCCATAAATCACTTCTTTAAAGACCTTATCTAGAAATATGGTTACATTCTATTGAGGGGGCTAATACTAGAGGGGGTACACATAATTCAGCCTGAAACATGAGTTTCAGAACCCTGAGGGACCTAGAGATCTCTTTACCTGAAATATAACACAGTAAATTTGGATATCATTACATTGATTTCAGTCCCTTTTTTTACCTGTTATTTTTTGTCGTCTTATGAATTATTTTCATATATCTGGGTCGATCCAGATCTCTTTTTTTTTTTTTTTTTTTTGAGGGGGAGGAGGAGCAGGAATAGACATACAGGGTCTTGTCTATACAACGGGTTATCTCAAAGTTGGGGGGCAAGTGAAGATTTTACTTTTCAGATTGTTTCTGGGACAAACATGATTGGCAGTTCAGCTGTTCTTCATCAGGCAGGTTGAACAGGCAGTCCTTTTCTTCACCAGCAATATTAAATAGCAACTAAGTACAGTTTTGAAGAGAGATCTCATGGGCATATTTTAAAGCATTACACACTTTTGCAACATGTGAAAGTTATTTTCTAAGAAAGGGATAAAAATCCTGATATGATGTGCTCTGATGCAATAATACCATTTGTTTCTCACGAGAGAGGATAGCATCAAGAGAGGGGTGTTAAGGGCTTCAAGTTCCAAAAAGGAAATGTGAACCAAGCAACACCTGGAACAGATGGCTTCAAGATGTTTTGCAAGTAGATCTGAAATGCTTATGTGCTGCTGAGGTGCCACATGAAACATGAAGTAGGCATTGAATTAGAACTTCAAGAAGTCTTGGCTTAAATTATAAATTTGGGAGTTAATAGCATATAAATAGTATTTTAAGTCATGACAAGGGAAAATTTTGAACTTTTATAATTTATCTAAAGTTTAAGATTTAAACTGTTTAGATTCTTGGTCCTCTTATGTTTGGGGAAGTATCTATTAATTGTTGACTTATTCTCCAGCAAGCAAATAAGAGAAAAGCTAGTAAAATGTTTAAAATAGCTGTATGATTTGAAAAGAAATACTGCAAAGCTACTGAGTAATAGCAGATTACAAGATTGTTTAGGATTGTTTCCACAACTGAAAAATAGATCCATAAATTAGTGGAAATATAAAAGTTTATTATCAAATTCATATATTATAAAAATGATCTGTTCAAAGTAAAAAAAAAGTCCAATAT